TGGTTTGTGACAGAAGTGCTGTAGCTTGATCGACTTCGCGATTGATTGACCTTCGTGAGAATTCTGCTACAAGGACAACGTAACATGTCTGGAGGAATGTGACTACCGGCTGTACGGGCTCGGAAATTCTGCAGCTTGCCGCATCATATGTCATCATTCGGACCGCGTCTGCCTCGATAATGGTCCCGTATCCCTCGAGGAATAGCAAGGCGGAGGCGCAAGTGATGTCGAATGGACCCTTGAATCTGAATTCCGTCTCTTCCAGTGTATGCCCCACTCAAAACTTGTCGCCTATCTGATGCAGTCATAGCTACGTTTTTCTTGATTTTGGTGCCTCTCTCTGTCAGTCTGCATTATCGGACCATCCGCTTATTCGGACCAAAATGGCTCGGTCCCGATCTGGTCCCATACATTACAGTAATCGTGCGACGTGAATATCTTCTCCAGGGTGGTTCCAGCTCTGCGCTAGTGTACGAAAGCTGGACACAATAATTGTGGAAGAAACAGCCTTCTGGAGACCTTAATATGGACTTTCCTTTCTTGCAGCGTATGGCCTCTTTGGACATGGAGCCAGCCCAGAGCTGGCTCCCTCTGCCCGAGAAAGATCCGCGGGTCGCCGGATGGCTAATGTTAGGGAATCCCACCCCGATCGTGGTGATCTTAGCCTTCTATGTATACATCGTTAAGGTGAGTGGACCTGCATGACTTTTCGGGAACGGCTCTTCTTGAGCGCTTCCTGGGAGACTTCGGCTCCGAGGGAATATATCCATTCTCCGAGTAGAGATTCGAGGTCTCATCTGAGTGAGACGAATCTCTCATTGGAATCGGAATGTCCACCCGCTACGAGATTCTTACCGAATACACACATTCAGATCGGAGAACGACTGGGAAGTCGGACCGCGCCGAGAGGCGGGCCGGGGTCGGCTCCAGGTCGAGCGGCCGCCCGGCTGCCTGGACAGTGGGGAGCCGACCCGCGAGGCGATCGAGACGGCCCTCTTGGAGCAGAGGGTCTGAAGGGGGACTGCACCGTCGCTTATCTCGAACCAGGTTAATGTTTTAGTGTGCCTATTCCTAAGTTGTAGATCATATATTGTTTATATTGTTGCGGACGATTTCGCTTTCATTCGCTCGAAGAAAGAGCAGGGAATTCCTCGCTCTCGATTCGAAATCCCCAATCTCGACCGGACTCTGGCTCACGGTTCTTCACGTTGTTTTGTTCGGGATATTCCCTCCTCGCTAATATCGGGATAATTGAGACCCCTCCCTCATCATCAGATTCAAAAGGAGAAAAATTCATGAACGCTCCATTCCTCTTCCAGAGTTGCGAAAGCGAGCCGCTCAAGAAGCTGCTCTCAACAACAAGCATCAAGACGTGGACAAGAAAGAACTTCAGCGAGCAATTCGGGCCAGCGGCTAGTGCTGCTGGTCTTAGTTCGACTGTTGCTTTTATGTATGACGAAGGATAAGAAACAAACGTGGGCTGACTCGCATTGGCTTGTACATACATCGATTGAAGACGGCCCTCCTGGAGCAGAGGGTCTGAAGGGGGCGACTGCACCGTCGGTTATGAGCGCTGAACTTCCCGATCCAGCATCTCACGTGTGGGGCCGGGGGCCCTCACGTGATATGCAGCAGCGTTATGGAGAATGCTTGCATTCTCCGAAAGAAAGAGGGGCGGGTCTCTCTGATGGGCGTGACCCGCCCATATAACCTTCTCCAAATCATGGCATCGATGGCGTTCGCAGTGAAAATTGCTCATCATTTTTACTTCCGGATGGGTCAACCGTTTTTATGCTCACCTCCAGACCGACGCGAGGACAGCCTTACGCTCGAGCTGCTTGACATAACATTTTATTACTGGTGTCTACCTCCATTCGGCCCTCGTAAGGCTCCAAGGGATGCTAGGTGAGTCCTTATCACTCCTGATTTCTTTCTGTACAATTGTTCTTTCTTCTCAAACTTGAATACATTGTAAATAATTTGAATAACACTGTTTTTCTGTTTTCATTCAGAGGGCCTGGACACATCGGCCCGCGTCCCAAGGTCGATGACCACCCCAATACCATCAGGGTGTGCAAGTCCATTTCCCCAGAGGACGGGGACGACAGATGAGCTGGATGGATTAGTGGGCTCGGGGGTATCTGATGCTCCCGAGCTGAACTTCCCGATCCAGCATCTCACGTGTGGGGCCGGGGCCCTGATTTCTTTCTGTACAATTGTTCTTTCTTCTCAAACTTAAATAAATTGTAAATAATTTGAATAACATTGTTTTTCTGTTCTCATTCAGAGGGTCTGAGTTTTTCATTCTGAGCATGTTCGTAAGAACAGGTCGTTGGTAGTTCCAGCGGGGGTCATTGGTAGTCGGGGGATAAGTATTCATCGTGATGTCGAAGGCCGCAGCGAGCACAAACAGTGCTGATTTACTCCGGAGGAGGAGTCCTGGAGCGGGCCCCTTCGGGCATTAGCGATGCAGAAAACCTTCCACATCGGCCAAGCAATCCGCATCGGGAGATTTGGCTTGCAGGCCGCATCCGCAACGAGCGAGCTCCAAGGGTGAACCAGTCCCGCTTCGTCACGAAGCTATGACTCTGAGCGGAAATCATTTACGAACCGCCCCTTCATGGGAATTGCGGACGATTTCGCTTTCATTCGCTCGAAGAAAGAGCAAGGAATTCCTCGGTCTCGATTCGAAATCCCGAATCTCCACCGGACTCAGGCTCACGGTTCTTCACGTTGAATTGTTCGGGATATTCTCCCCTCGCTAATATCGGGATAATTTAGACCCCTTCCCCATCATCAGATTCAAAAGGAGAGAAATTCATGAGCGCTCCATTCCTCTTCCAGATACTCCGCATTGCCCGCATTCATGTTGTTCCAGTGCTTCGCTTCTTCATCCTATTCTTCCACTTCTACAAACAGTCATACCGTCAGAAGCGCGAAGAGGAACTCCAGGAGCGGGCCGCTCAAGAAGCAGCGCTGAACAACAACCTCGATGAACGGGTAGACGACAAGAAGAGTCTTTCGTGAATGATCGAGGATTGAGGCTGTTGGTTAGCGCAACTAGTCTTAGCTCGTCGGATACCTCATGTTCAAATTAGGAAGGCTCACGTGAGCTGATTCACATTGGTTAAAGGATATATACAGTCGAATCCACCCGGAACAACCGGACGGCTCGATACCGTCTTCTGAGAGTGCTACTAATCGAGACCGACGAAGTGACGCCGTTCGGATTGGCGCTGACTCGACAAATTTTGGCTTCAGACTCCGAATAGCTCTCTTTCGCTAGCGCGAAGTCTGATCTGCTTCCTCGACAGACTCGGAGCCTGAAGTCGGCTCCATCGGAGGATAGATAATAGAGGATAGATAGTGACACTGATGCCCATGAATCAGATGTCTTACCATTTAAATTTACCTTTTTGCCTTCAATAACTCTAATCCTGAAGAGGTTCAAAGTTCAAAGCAGCTCACGACAAAATTATTTGTACATACACTCACTCGCGAGCTGGGGGAACGGTTGGAAATATGGTGAAGTCTGCTTTCCGATGGACCCGGCGATGATGAGCGCGGAGACGACCCTGGAGAGTAAATGTAAATAAAGACAATATTGTAACGGATTTTGGTGGGGGTCGCAGCGGCGGACCGGCGACAGAGCACCTGGAAGGCGTCGACACCCTCACAGCGGGAGCCCTGGAATTGTAAACTTTTATCTAGACCTGCACGCGAAGCGACCCCGGTTCCCACAGTTGTTTTGGTATCGGAGATCGGGATCGTGAATCGTGAAGCGATCAGGGATCCGTAAACTACCGTTCCTATGTGTGTCACGGAGTCGACCTGACGGATGCGACCGTATAGCCGGCGTTTGGACACCGCGCGCTCCAGGGGGCGACGCGGTAACGGCCCAATCGGAGTGGATCTGGAGATGGTAGGAAGTGAATTGGAATCGAATAAGAAACTGCCGCGCGAACTCTCGCGCGGCATTCCGGTGTGGAACCTCGACCGTTGTGTTCCCTTGTGCACGAAGTTCTTCGGCCTCCTCGAAGGCACGTCTTCAGTCCCCTCAGTTCCTCAGCCCCTCAGACCCGAAGCTTCCCGCGGATCAGGATCGGCGCCTGTGAATTCTCCCGTAGCTACTGCCCCAGAGGAAGCCATCGTATTGTTGTCCCCTGGTCCCGTATTGTCATCCGTATTTGGCGCAGGAAGCATTCTCGAGAAGTGTCGCTACAATATGAATAATTATAACAAAACCGATGTACCGCCGGCGTAATTTTGTTCCAATCTATATCCTATACTTTATAGCTTCTGAAATGCAAATGATGTCGTCCCTTGCACAATAATCTCTGTATTTTTGTTGTTCTCAAAGCGCTCCTGCATGACGACGACTCGATTATCGCGCTCTTACATTGAGAAACGACGCTTCGGGCTAGCTGGTCGATCAGACCGTCGAACTTCGCGGTTTTCGCATACTCCCTGACAACCCTTCTCCTTCAGTTGTACAGCTACGAAGTGAGAATAGTTGCACTACTTTCCGACTACTGCACTACTGCATTCGATCAATGGGTGAACCTGCTGCTCGGGACGGAATTCCGTCCATTCGAGGAAGCTCCCCTCCGAGCGTAGCGAGCACCGCCACCGAGGAAGGCTGAGCAAGAGCGATACATGACTTTTCTTTCGCTTGGCGCCACGATTCGAATGGTCTCTCACCCTCGCGCAACTTTCAGCAATGGCGTCTCCCTCGAGCGAATCACAAACAGATGTTCGTTCCAAATACACCGCTGGTGTTCCACGGCGTCAGCTAATCGGTTGAGACAAGCCGGCCGTGGAGACTCTAGTGAACTCCACCCGTGCGCCTTCCAGCCTTCCGTACAGGTAATTGGAGAGCGGAGAGGCTATAGCGTCTGAGTTTCATGATGTTGTGACGAGAGAAGCGCCATGAGGAGCACCCCATTCGCCGCCGCTAGCACCGACTAGACTGTCATACCGCGAAAGAGAGCAAAGCGACCATGGAGCGCGAAGAGAGCTTCTGGCTGCTGAGATTGCTCTGCAATGTTCTTGGATATGCAACCGTCGCCGTTCCGATGGCACTCGTGGTATGGTACGTTCGGAAGCACCAGCTGTACCAGAGTGAGAACGACCCAAAGACCTGGTACGTGAGGTTCTCTCGCTTGCTCGTTTACGGAAAACTGGACTACGAGCGAGCGTCGCTCGAGCTCGGAGGATCAAGCGAGAGACCGGTCGAGAAGCAGCGATCATCGATACTCGGCAACCGGATATTGGTCCTCGGCTGCTGTTTCATCGGTCTCCAAGTTTCCTATTTGACTTGGGGCATTCTCCAGGAGAAAATAATGACTCAGAAGTACTACACCGCAACTTCGGAACTCGGGGAGTCGTTCCGCGATTCTCAATTCTTAGTGTTCGTGAACAGAGTGTTAGCATTCGCTTTCGCTGCACTGTATCTCGCTGTATCCTCGGATCAGTCTCCGCACAACGCACCTTTCTACAAATATTTCTATTGCTCGTTCTCCAACATTCTCTCGTCGTGGTTTCAATATGAAGCGTTGAAGTTCGTCTCGTTTCCCACCCAAGTTCTAGCTAAAGCTTCGAAAATCATTCCCGTCATGCTGATGGGCAAAGTCGTGTCTCGGAAAAGCTATCAAGGCCACGAGTACTTCGTGGCTTTGATGATCTCGTTGGGCATGAGTTTATTTTTGTGGTCCCGGCCGGAAAGCCCGAACAAATCTTATGCCGAATCGACATCCCTGTCGGGCACAATAATTTTAGCCGCGTACATGGTGACGGATTCCTTCACCTCGAACTGGCAGGGCGAATTGTTCACCAAGTTCAAGATGTCTTCCATACAAATGATGTGCGGTGTGAATTTTTTCTCCACGTTGCTGACTTTCGTCTCCCTGCTCCAGCAAGGAGCTCTCCTGAAATCGTTGAGTTTCGCGATGGCTCACCACGCCTTCGCGTACGATTGTCTCGTTCTGTCGATCTGTTCGGCCACCGGTCAGCTCATCATCTTCTATACGATATCCCAGTTCGGACCTGTGACGTTCGTGGTGATGATGACCATCCGGCAGGCGGTAGCCGTTTTGCTGTCCTGTCTCTTATTCCGGCACAGCATGTCCCTCCTGGGAGCTGTGGGTATCGTGGTGATTTTCGCAGCAGTCTTCTTCAAGGTTTGGTACGGACAGCGACGCAAGAGGAAACATACAGCTCCGCCAGTCAATGCCGGAGCTTCCCCGTCCTCCTCCGACAACGTGCGGCTCTTGAGTCCTCGTAAAGAGATTGTTTAGTAGTATTCGCTCTCTGTACGAGCTCCAGGGAAGATCTGATAGAATGATGAGATCTCCTTCGAGGCCAATTATCGATCCATAGGTTGAGATTCTCGTCTGCGAGCCACTCGAGTCACCGGCTCGCTTTCAAATACCTATAAAGTCGTATTTTGTACTGTGTGTTCATGTCAGTGTTGGAACGATGTTGTTGTAATTTTATTCTGTACAGTGTTCATGACCATGTTGAGGCTCTACCCACCGTCTGCGTTTTGCCTCGACGAGATTTTCGGGACTTGATTCCGTCTGATTGCGGCGCCGCAAATCGCGAACAGTGCAATGTTCTGCAGGCGATCTGATATCTGTGAAGACCGAGTGCCATATGACACGCGGGAACATTATGATTTATACCAGGATACGAGCGTAGTTCTCATCGTGATAGCGAATTCTATGGAGGAGAACTCACGATTGAAGTCACGGCGGGACACCGAACCCGCTTTCAAGTGATGCGTTGGACGTGGAGGACGTAGGTCCGATCCACTTTGGTACTCGTGACTAATATTTTCCAGAGGTCGGAGAACGCCCAGACTCCTGACCATGTCGCATGCGTCCTCTCGAGCCCTGTACGGTGGCTCCCGAGCGCCGTATTTCGGGCGTGCTTGTACTCATTCGATAGGACTCAATAAATCTCTCGGCCGTAAGAAGGATCCGTTGTATTATTTTCCTCACTCCAACCTAGCAGACAAAGCGTGACCTCCGTTCCAGGATGGACGTTGCCAAGCCGACGACACTGATAGTCGAGCCATTTTATGGAGGGTCTCATGCTCAGCTGATGGAACTCTTCGTCAGAGAATTTCAAAGTCAAACACCATTCGAGCTAATCTCTATGAGAGCTACCAAGTGGCATTGGAGAGCCCGGACTTCTGCCTTGTGGCTGTCGCAGAACATTCCTCGAGAAAGGTTGTGACTAATTTCGTTCCTATATCTGCGGACTCATGAACAGAAGATATTCTTAACTCGTGAAATCCTCATTCCGGAACCCTCGCATGTCCTCAGTACACAACCTGACTGGAATTCATATATCTGTAGGGGGTTCAAAAAACTCTTCATCACATCTGTGGTCAACCTGGCCGAGTTGCTCGGTTTGAGAAGAGACTTGGCTGAAATCGAGGAGAAGATCGTTTACTTCCACGAGAATCAGCTCGATTATCCTGTACTCGATGAGAAAGAGAGGAATTTCCAGTATGGATACAATCAGATCATGACGGCGCTGGCTGCCGACAGGGTCATATTCAACTCGGGGTACAATGCATCCTCATTCTTGTCGAGAATCGATTCGTTTCTAAACAAACAGCCCGACTACCACACCCAATGCAGGTAAAACAACGTCGATTGATCCGATCCAAGCTTCTCGAATCCGATGATAATTCAGAATGAGATTGTCTCCCAAGACCACCACAGAGGAGAATTATTGATTCGGAGATATCTTCGAAGGCATCTCATCGAGAAAAAATGCTCGGTCCTCTTCTTCCCAATCAATTTGGAGCGCTTCAACTCGCCATCCGGGAACGACGTTCTTCACATACTTTGGCCGCATCGTTGGGAACACGACAAGGACCCAAACGCATTCTTCGAGGTTTGTCCGCTGGATTGGACCGACGCTCTAGCCAATCGTCGGCAATCAAGGAACGATGCGCATCGAGGTCAAATGCGAACTTATTGATTCACGTAGGGGAACTTAGTGATGGCACCCGTGGCTTCGGGTGAAAACTCGACTTTTCGACCCGTTCCCCACGGGAATGCGGTCCCGAGTTGATTCGGAACCCGACAGTGGATTACGGCATTCGTCGAAAAAACTCCCATGTCCCCTTCCCTGGCAACCGGAGGTTGAAGAACGCGGGACGATTCGATCTGATATTCTATCCATGAGCGATCAAGTGGATCAATCCTGTGTTCCGTGTGAGCCACCGAGTCCGAGATTCTCGTCCCTGGCGAAGCCCGGAAACCAGTGACGATTCCGGACATATTATGTGGATAAGAATTTGGAATATCCGAGGCGGCTGATTCAACCCTCGGTACTTCCGCATTCGCCAAGACAAGGGAAGATTTCTCAAGGACGCGTTTCTCTCGAAGGTGTTGCGCGACCTGAAAGGATCTGGCTGCTCTTTCGAAGTCTCAGTATTGGGCGAGAGCTATGGGGAGGTGAGTCTGGCGATAGAATAGTCGACGGCAGGGGATGCATTCTCTCGTGCTTACTAATACCCTGCATCATCATGGAGATAACGATCCCCGAACAGAGGCGAGGAAAGCCTCAGGAAGTCGAGAGAGTCCAACACATTGTTTTTCAGGTGCCACCCGTTTTCCATGAAGCAAGGGACTTCCTCGAGGGAATGATCCGCAATTGGGGCTACGCGTCTTCTCGAGATGAATATTCGAATATACTCCGATCTTCGGACATCGTGGTGTCCACGGCCATCCACGAATTTTACGGGGTAGCGGTTCTCGAAGCTGTTTTCTGTGGTGCATATCCTCTGGTACCCAACCGGCTCTCGTACCCTGAGCTGCTCCCACAACAATGCTTATACAGCACGAGAGCTCAACTTGTGAAAAGGTGAACAGAGTCAGGCTCGAACACTTCTCGATCCAGAATATGGCGGAGCTGATCAATCGGCCAGATACAGATTTCGGAAGATGGCAAGAGCGATAAACAGCCCTGCATCGAATCCTCTCAATTATTCGGAGTTTAATCCAGCTGCTCCCTTGTCGACAGGTTGAAGGAGTTCTGCAGAAAACCACATGTCCCACGGAAGCTCGCCAGCGAAATCGACCTCGCTCCTTATCACTGGGTTGGTCTTAAAGAGAAATACAGGAGCTTGTTGTTCTGAATCCGATGGGAGAGGCATCGAACCCCTCCCGAAGACCTCCATCACGCACTGCGCTCAATCGATCCATTGTACATATTATGTCCATGAGACCCCGAAGATTTGGAATCGGTGGATAAGACATGGAGAAATAAAGAGGATTCGAAACCGAAAATTTTGGATATGGCTAGGCTTCGAATCCTCAGCTCGAATTCATCGGAATACCGCATCACCATTCCAAAGAGACTCCTGAGAGTACAGGAGGGTCAGTGAGGGAAAATTGTAGGTACTTTGCACGAATTATATCGATGTCGGCCCCTCCCAGATTCGGGTTTCCTGATCCGACGGAATGGATGAAGAAGTCGGCGGCGCGGGTCGCGGTCACAAGTCGACGTCAAGGGGAATTCCTCTTCATTCCACCGCTCCATCGACTCCAGGGGGGAACTCGACGTGCCGACAATGAAGAAATGACGAGTAGTGGATCGATGTAATCTGTCTACTCATTCGACTCACTACAACATCATCCAGTTGAAGAATGAATTAATATGATATATCCGAGCATCACACAGACCGTTCCAAAAATTATTGTGCAGAGCATTCCATCGATGACGCGGCAGGAGAATCAATCGAGTAACGGGAATGGACCAGTCAATGGGACTGCACCGGGAATGACGAGGAAACAGCGTAGAAGCAGGGGCACTTGAAAACTTTCAAGAGAAACTGTGACGCAGCAGAACCTCTCACGAGCAACGGGAATAGACTGGTCAATGTGAGCGCACCAAGCACTCGAAGCGGACACCGTAGTAGCGAAGGCACTTGGGAGCGGTCTCACGGTCGGAATGGGCATCTCGAGCAATGCTCCGAAGGGAGGTCGAATGTACAGAAGAATTTGCTCCGCGCTGAAGTGGAGCTCCGCGATGATGAGCCTCGAGAGAGAGCGACAAAATCGTCCGCGATGAGCGGATCTCGACCGAAGGAATCCTGCTCTCAATGGAGACACAGCTTAGAATGAATAGCACCTGCATCACTAGAGTGAAGCTTTTGCGGCCGTCACCGCATGTGCTTGGCGGGCCTCGGATTCGAAAATGGACTCCAACCTGTTGCTGACGACAGACTATCGTTCCCAAAGCCGCATCGCTCCTCACACGACCATCATCGCTCTCCCCCTCTCTGCAGCAGCACTTCTACACCCAAGGAATTCCGTCTGCTTTTCTGTATGGGAATTCCGTGTCCGAACCGACGCGAGCAGTAGTCTTGCGATGGAAATGTAAGGGAAGCGTGACGTCCACGCCACAAGCACCTGCGGCCGCCGCGACCGATGTTCGGCGCACTGACAGCGGGAATTCGGTGGACATCCCTGTCCCGGAAGACCCTTTCTTGGGGGTCGCCAATCTCGAAATCAACGTCAGTCGAGAGGCCCGCTACGAATCTAAATCTCCGTGAACACCTGGCTGATAGCTGACGTTCTCTCGGCGGTTACGACAATCAACTTCTGGAGTGTCACTCTCCTCCTGCTTAGACTACGTGAGTAACGCTGGAGGAGTCATCCTCGTCGCGGTTCCGGCGGCGTCATCATCCGACTGAAGGGTCGATCCTCCTCGCACCAGCATCGTTATGGTTCTCCTCAAAAGCAGCGCGTGCTCTTGACAATTCCTCCAAGGCTTGCGCGAACGAGCAGTTCGTCATAGACAGTATCTCCCTCACAGCTAGCGCTTCTAACATTGAGTCCGCGGTGCACAAGTGTCAGAGCTAGACGGACGAGCTGGGCGAGATGGTGCCGAGAACTTCTCCGGGAATCTATCACAGAGCGAAACAATTTATTTCATGTTGCAGAAAAATGCTGTCAAAATCAGCACGGAGTCGGTGGGTGCTGTGCTTCGCTCTCGCTGTGTTCCAAATACTGGTGGGATTGTCTGTTGCCACTTTGGCGGTTGTGCAGATGGTGTTGTTGAAGTATTTCCACATTCAAACGCCCCACGTCGAAAGCTGTCACGATAGCACAGTTGCAGCTGTGTTACAAGGTAATTATGGTGATTCTAAGTCTGGAATAGATACAGAAGAACGGCTCGGAGCGTGTTACGATCCGACGATACACCTCACAATTCGAGAGTTCGAGAATCAACTCAATCCGGACAAGCAGGATGTCTCTGTCCGGCGAGAGGATCCTCTAACTCGACAGTTGGACGGGGAGCTTCCGAGCAATGCTTGACTCCATGAATTGGGATAATTCAGATTTTGGATTTTAAGAAGTTCCTCAATTGGGGAAGCCACGAGATATTTCTATGGGAGCCTCATGCCGGTACCGGAGTACACAATAATTGTGTTCCGTCGCGGGGGAAGAATCAAAATCGAAGAATCTTTTTTGAGTCTGAGTTAAGGTCATACCAATTGCGCGCTAAAGAATCCAGAGCTAGCTGCTCCTTTCATGTCAGTCTCCGCACAGCCCAGAGTCGAGCCTTCAATTTTTTCGTATGACGATAGATGCTTCCATCCAGACTATCCAAATGAGTCCACGGAGTACGGTCCTGCGTATTTTGACCCGCGAGATTTTTCTGAGAAAACTCTCCAGACAGAATCGATGCATGCAGGAAGCGTGACGCTGTACCCCATCGATCGGATAGAAATGAACTAATTGATCCCGCGCCCCAGGTATCACGCTGCTTGTTGCGGGAACAATGGGTATTGCTGCTTACGGCCCGATGGTGAGGCAGGGTGCGTGTCCGGCGCCCAAGCTGGTCCTCGTCGTGAGTTACGTTCTGTTTTCTGCTGTTGTTGCATTCGTCGGATACAATGCAGCGGCCTCCCACGGCTGCTTCGCTCTAGGGAGAGGCGGTGGTAAGTTTTTTTAGTCACTCGACTCTCGTAATATCCCATTTGGTTCATGGAGAGCCACATTGAACCCTTCTATATATCATTCGGCCACTCTGGAATAGGGGCTTGCGTTCAGAATCTTCCTCTCTCCTTCGCAGAAAAGGAGATATTTGGCATAGTGGTTGCTCGTGTGGTTCTGTCCTTCATTTGCCACATCGTCGGCGGACTCGGGGCCGGATTCGCGGTGCCTGATGCCTGTAGCGGTATCTTGAAAGCGGTGAGTTTTTGCACTCGATTTGCCATACCACCTAACCGTGAGAATTCCATCGAACCGGAAAAGCCAACAAGTAATTCGAGAACTTGTGCGGGGACCCGACAACTCATCAAAGGAAAGAGAGCTTCCACCGCAATATCCGCTGAAGAGAGGATTCTCCGATTTTTCAGAATCAGGACAAGGCAGCCTTGCACGATTTCGTTCAAAGGATGGATTCACAAACCGTCGGCAGCCTCGATAAGCAGGTCACGGTCATCACCCTCCCGAAAGACGGGGCGACTATATACGCGGTCCCGGAAGATCAGTTCGTGGTGCAGAAACGCGACGGAAGTATCACCGTTCCCTCCACGGATGTTGCGAAACCCGAAGCAAGCGAACGAGTGCAGTTGTTGACAGAAACATGACCGTCGAGTTTTTAGAATCGAAATCCGCCATTATGCGTCCAAGCACCTAGAGAATTTCGGTATGAGGGCGGGGTTCTCGGAGAAGATCTCATATCGGGCAACTGACATTATCAGAGAATCTCGAGCAGACGCATTTTTCTCATGCTCGACTCTCTCGAGCGCAAGTTCCTCCGGGTCCGAGTCCGAGGCGAGTACCCATACATGATCTCCGAACCTTGTTCTAGTTCTTCATACAGTTTTCCTCTTCGGGACGCGAACTCGATGCCCAAGCGAGCCTCAGAAAATTCTCCGCTACGGCTAGACCGAGAGTGATGTGAGCGGTGTCCGCTAATTCATACATTGATCTCTTGGGTATTGCACCGACACTAGAGCAGACGTTCGCCATGAAAAGCGACCTCGGCGCTCTCTGCCTCTGATCTTTCATGGATAAATCAGCGATCGTACATCAGGCATGTGTACCGAGTACGGTGGTCCACCGGCCTTCGGCTCCGCGGGGCCTCGCGGTCGGCTGGCCTCAGCCTTCTCGTCGCATTTGAGATTATGCGGAGTTATACGTATGCACGTAGAATAATCCAATGCCACATGGAATAAAACAATTGTGCGGAGTATGGATGTTTGCGTTTCTCTTCTTATATTGACGCCTATCGCAGAAATCTTGAGCCGACATTCGACTCTGGCTGCTTCCTCATTGACATTAGCTGCCTGTCACGGAGCTCCTCGTCCCTTACGAGTGGATATTCTGCGGATCTTGCCACGAATATCTGCTCGGCTGATGGATTACTGAATCGACCCGTTTCGATATTAAAGGTGAACGTTTTTTTATTCTCTTATCCATATGTCCTTGAGGGCGGGTGTAGAAGAACGATAGTTACCCTCGTCATGTGTCGGAATCCCCGAAGTTGAGTGACAAGCGCTAGCAGATCGGCCCTCGAATCGGAAAGATGTTCGGCTTCGTGTCATGTGAGAGTGCCCTCCAGAAGGAATCCCTTGTCCGTCGACGCGCTTTCGAAATGTGTTTTCGAGCGAGCCTCGAGGATAGCCACCGCGGCAGGAACTCTTATCCGGGTCGTGAGAACGCTACACATTCTGCCCGCGATGGTTCTCCGGGCTGAGGGGAAGCGGAGTCTGGAGCACCTTCTCTCCTTACCTTCTCGCGTGTCTTTGCTCGAGAGGCTGCTCGTTCGGACCGAGCTTTGGTTTCCGCTGCTCCCGGTCCTTTTTGCTCGAGAGCCGAAATGCATGCTTGTCCCGGGCTGAAACTCTTCCTACACTGGATATCCGGGAAACACTAACGTAGTTTTGTCGGCCATCAATCCATTCCGATTTCCCTGGACGATTGGCAAGCATCCGGATCAGCCCTCTCCACTGGAATCCGCTGTCGTCAAATCTCTTCTCAGATCCCGCATTTCGGAGAGCTCCCTCGGCACTCGGAGGAGTTCAGCTTACAGAACAATTTTTCTCATATCGGATTTCGCGAATCTCAACAAAGCCCCCGAGTGCTGGAAATAATCACCAGACTCGAGAGCTGTCCGTCTTGGCGCAATGGGGTCATGCTCCCACACGAGGTCCACGGGGAAGTTTCGTGTCGACAATTCACTTCAGAGCTCGTTCCCCATGCTTGTGAAATCCGCGAAGGGCATCCTTGCCTCGGCTTCGACAGCTGTGAAGGGAAGGCCACGGTGGCAGCGAGAGTCGGAAAGGTGAATATCTTCCAAAGTTCCGGTGGCGGCGAGCCTCGTCCTCATGAGAGGAGTCTCTGACGCTAATCCCAAGGTTCCTTGCCCCCTGTGGTACATAGTACCACAATCAAGAAATTCTGTCTCGAAGGGACGAGTAGGTCCGGAGCTCAGTCTACGCCCCCGTACGCTCCGGAGAATCATTCGGAATCGACGCTCACTCTGCGGAGGCCGTATGTGCCAGGACGTCGCGAAGGCTGAGTCGATTTCCCCCAAGGAGTCACGAGAAGTCCATTTAGGGTCGGCATCGAATTGTGCTGTATAGATCTCTCTGAGTGAGTCCCGAACGTCGGGAGATCTGATATTCCGCGAACTGGTGGGTCGAGAGCGGCGTCAGCCCGGCCCAAACGTGGCAGAGGAGTTGAGCCGGAGCTCTCGCACCACAATCACAAATTTACGCGATACACCATAGTTCTATTGCATTCGTAAACAAAGGTACTCATCCAATCCTTCGGGGTATGGTCCGACTCGCTTCCAAAGAGAAGTTTCGCGACCAATTTAATTTCTCATTTCAACCCTCCTCTCCCGTGCTCCACCATTCTATATGCATCGTCCATCATATCGTACCCCTCTCCGTCGAAGTCTAGACGCATTGAAGGAGATCAGAAGTCCAATAAGGCAAAGACGTCTCGGAATTTCAAGACTTCGTGCTGCTCCTCCATCTCAGGCGGGCGCGGATGCATCTCTCCCAGGAACTTCGAGAGCTCCGGACCGCGTGATGTTCCACCCCGCCTCCGTGCGAGATACGGACCCGATCCGTATCGCAGGAGGATGCTCCGAGTCATGAAGAAGCGTACTTAATTTATTCACAGAGCGATTTCATGCGATGCGCCGAAACCCGTTTTCGTCTCCTCCTCTTGTTGTCAGTGACTCATGCCCGCAGATTAAATTTGGAACTCTTCGCCACAATGTTTCTCTTCAGTCGTTGACGCTTCCGGCTCATTCTCGACAACGTTTTCTACGTGATGACCTTGGCGTACTGGTTAGCGCCACGGCTGCGGTTGGATAACATCCTGCCTGGCTGGAAGTCAGCGCTGCTCACACGAGAACTTCCGTCGAGACAAAATGTTAGCGACCATCGAATCTGTCGGACAACCTTATCCAGATCGAGCGGCGTCCAGCGTCAAAGTAGATCAATGGTTTCCAGAGAGAGAGGAGGGAAATGAGCTCCACTGACTGGCATTCGAAATCACAATCGAGACGACTTCATTTTGTGCTTTCTCGCCAGATGCTCCTCAGCGCTGGATCCCTCGCGAAGGGAGCGAACTCGTCGTTGCCAAGCAACCTCCCCTCCGGACAAGCGAGGACTTTTTATCGAACGATGCCAATATCTCTCCTGTCAGGTTCGGACTCAGCCGAGGCGGCCTTCAGTTCTACGACGGCCCGGATCGACAAAGCACAAAATGAGGTCGCCTAGTCCTGATCCCCACGTCAAAGTACCTGCGGCGTCCTACCGTCCTATTCCTGAACCGGAATTCGATTCAGAGCGAGAGTGATGTCGGCGAGTCCGCTAGCGAAATCATCCAAATGGAATTTCACTCACTCAGGGAACCTATAAGCATCGGAGCCCGCGGAGTCGCACGCGTCTCGCTGGAAATTCTATGATTTCCTCCTCACATATTACGCTCTCATGAATTTCGGTTTCAGATTCGTACGAATTCAATATTCAACGCGAGCGGGGCTCGCAAATGTCATCCCGAAGGAGGGAACCTCCGGCTCGAGTGTTCTCGGAGTCCGAATTCCGTTTGTTGTCGAATCAGAACTATTTGCGCTCCGCTCCCCAATGAGGGACAGATTGGTTTTTTGTGAAACGTCCGAGGGACCTGCGGTCTCAATCGTACAGCAAGTGAGCGGAAAATCGCTTTCACTGAGGATTCCTCGCGGGAGATTCTCCTCGGCTCTCCTCGCCGCCGCCGGATGCAGAGGAGCTCTCGGATCATCCGGGCGATATCAGAAAATCATTCGCCGGCCCTGGCTTTCGAATCAACAGAACATTACTCGGACCTGTTTCTGAGCACTCAAACTATTTCAATTCACATCTAGGCAGCTATGGGAACGCGGACCGCTCGAAAGCGGCACCGTCTCTTGACATTCGGTCCAAACGACGGGATCAACATGTCCGTTATCGGGAAAAGCAATTTTCAGAGAGAATGTTTGCCAAGCCGCGCCCCAGTTCCGCAATCGCGATTTTTTTCCGTCGTATTCTTCAGCCAGTCTGTCGACCAGTCGAGGAAGCGTCGTTCATTGAGGTGATCACCAGATCGGGACAGCGAATGAATTGCGCTGGTGTTCTTTTGTGGAATCGGAATCTGAACTTCGGAGAAAATTCTGACCGTCGAGCCGTTCCCGCTAAAACAAGAGCTGCACGACAAGTTCCAAGGTCGTCAGCGGGAGAACGAAGGCTTCGTTCTGTTCCAATAGCACCGGGGTCCTCTCGAGCGTCCCAATTGGAGCTCTCATGCCCCCTCCGTCATTCGAGATACAATGGGCATCAAGTTTTAATAAAGGCCATGCATCATATTTGGGCGGAATCAGAAAGGCGCCGCGGATCTCCCGTCGTATGTATTGACAGAACTTCATGGAAGCTCCGAACTTCAGTCGATTACTGCCAACATCGACGGTGAGCGAAAGTATTCCGTAAATCTTTTTTTATCTCTTTAAATCGGCGAATTCGATCAAATGGATCAACGATGACGGCAGCATTCAAAGTTCGGGCCCAGAGGACGACAGCGGGGCTTGTTGTCGACGTACCCTCTACGACGCCTAGGAAAGAAGTCCTTGATGATACGCCGCATACCTCAGTTCCCTGCCCCTTATCGTGGCTGCCTGGCTGCCGAGGGTCCCATCTATGTTCCCTGGAGTCTTTTCCCCGCTCACAGCAGCCGGGAACGGTTTGTCGTCGAGGCTTCTCTTTCCCGCTTCGTGAAGTTCTACTCCCTTTCCCGCGAAGAGCCGCCGAAGAATTCTCAACGACCCGCTCAAAGGAGCCCAACAGCTCATGAGAGAGAAGATCAAGTGCAGAACTCGTCAGCGGTCATAATTTGTGCTCCGAGAGCGAATCCTGCCGACGTGACTCTTTCATTTGTAAGTTTAATTTGTGAGGCCGGATCCTCGGGGATCATTCGGGAAATATCCGATTCCCAGCCATGAGATCTCTGTATCTACTGGGACCCCCCCGTGGGATCGAGCTCTTTGAACGATCCCGAGCACTGGTAGGATCTCTTGTGGGGCAGGATTCGAAAAATTTAGTGGTCGATCTCGGCCTGAAGTGGATGCATCGCTATCGAACCCTCGATGACTGTCGCCCTCGCTGTCGTCAGGAAAAGCGGGTGCATACACAATACGGGAATAGGCTCCTCCATTCCCGAGCTCGGAGGTGGATTTTCCCTGAGGAAAATCTTTTCGCGATCGCCGCACTAAGTCGTGTGATGAAAACGATTGATTGAACTTCAAGTAGAGCATCGGAAAGTGTTTCTCGTTGTGCGATGCTGAGAATCTATTGACGCTATGATTGTCCATCCAGGGCGTCTGGAGGGAAAATGGCGAAATCTCTCGCAGATCAGGTCGATATTCGACCCTTGCGTGCCAACGAAGTGAAGTTCGCTGTTGACATCTGGAAAGAACAAGGCTTGGAGGAAGGCCTCCATACGTTGCAGCTCTGGCACCAGACCGATCCAGAGGGCTTCGTCGGCGCAGTTCTCAAGGACACAGGTAGCGTGGTTATCTAATCGTGAGATTATCGATTCTCAGTCGAAAAGAAAAAGGTTTCAATCTGAAGAATTGCGCAGGCGAAGTTGTCGGCAGTTGCGCCGCAATTAAACAACGCGAAGACCTCTACTTCGTCGGGCTCTACGCGGTACGTACAGAACTTCAAGGACGAGGCATCGGAATGAAAATGTGGGAGTATGCGATGAAGCGTGTCGGCGATAATAACGCGGGGCTCAACGCCGTGCCGAAGCACCTCTCAACTTATCGGTGATTATTGCCTACTTTTCGAGAGAATTATTCCCGATAGCAGACACTGCGAATGAGTCGCGAGTCGCAACTTCTCCAACCGATGCGTTCCAATGACTTCAGCGACCACGCCGGATTCTCTCATGTGGCCGCTTTCAACACCTGGGTTTATGCCGCTCCATGGGGAGAACTCAACATAGATTCGCTCGCTTCGCTCAAGGACGACAGCGTTGAGATCAGGTGACTATTCCTGTATGCTGATTCCCGTGGACGGACCCAGTGACGGATGCGAACCCGTCAAAACATCTCCCCGTGAGGCTCAGCGCATAGGTACGTCAGACTGAATATGAATTTTCCAGGCGAGTCAACGTAGGAGACGACGAGGTTCTCGGAATGCTCGTCGACTACGACGAGAAGGTACGTGGAAATGTTTATATGGTAATTTCCATTCAGCTTGCTGAGTGACGGGACTTTCTCCGGAGGCTTCTCTCCCTACAAGTTTGAGCTATCTGACCGCCTGTTCGGAGAGACGAACAAAACCGTCGTGAACTTTCGCTCGGGTCCGGGGAACGGAGACGTGATGACGACACGCTAATACTAAAAGTACAAAAACTGTGAAGGTGCACAGCTTCCGTCGAGAGCGAGCCATCCGGGTCACCATGGACGACGACGACGGCATCCTCCTGGCTTCCTTCGGAGCAAACGGCGTTATCGTAGGTTTTGGGAAAATCAGCACCAATATCCAAGGTGAATACCCCGGAAAAGAACTCGTCATACGAAACCCACGAGTCTCTGACGCGGAATCCCGCCGAACCCGATTCGTATTTGATCTTTCTTCTCGCGGCGGATTTCGGAGCCGAGACCTAAAATGTCCGAGTCATGATTATTTGATTAGTGATCGATAAGTAATTCTACTTCCTCCACCCGTAGAGGGAGCCCTCGTAGGACCTCTGTACGCGAACAGTCTCCCGATCGCTCGAGGCCTCCTTCATGCGCTGGTCACAGAGTTCTCCCCGAGCAGAGTGAACGTGACCGCCTTCGCTATGGACGGCAACCCCGATTCCTGTCGTCTGACCGAGGAGCTTGGTTTGAAGAAACTCATGGCGGTTCCTCGCTGCTACCGTAACCCCGACGTTCCAAAGGCTGACTTTAAGAAGGTGTACGCGCACCACACGCTCAACTTCTCGCTGTTCTAAACGACGAATCGTGCTCCGAGTTTTTTTCTAAGTTTCCGTGGGCTCTAATCTGTCTGGAAAGAGGAAGAGACGACAGGAATAATCCGTTATTCCTCGTTCGGAGCGGAATTCAGTCGTCGAGGGCTTCTCACTTTGTGCTTGGCGAAAGCGGCGGATATTCTAATGCTTCCTGTAGGGTCGAGCGTGCAGGAGACGTCGGCCTCGGGTTCTTGATCCTCTTGATTTTCACACGGCGTTGTCTTGTGCGTTTGTGCCTTGGTTTTGCTGCATGATTCTGACTTGTCCGACCCGGAGGATGAAAGAACTCATCGCCGAGGCTCTGGCTTCTAGCTGAACAAATCGGATAGACTACGATATTCAAGGAGATACGAGACATGTGAGCGGAGCGATGATTCACGAAGGAGAGAGAGATGTACCCGGCGAGTGACTCTGAACCGTTTGAATTCGGACGACCTACCAGCAATCCCCGTGCTAAACGCCTGACGGAGATCGAATCGTCCCCGGCTGAGCGTTCGCGCTGAAGGCCGCGCCGGAGACGGCAGCGCCGCACCGGCGCCGTTTAGTTTCCATCGTTCCTCTTGGAAGCGCCCGGGAGAAATGACGATCGCTCACTCCCTCAACGTGAGAGGTTCGCTCTCCGAGTGAAATATTGAGGTCTCTTATCGAGAAGATCGACCCGCATGGATATAGTTTTTTTTTACGCTGGTGGGAGAGATGGACATCTCCAAATCTCAGCGATATTGCAGAACTGAGGCAGATGGTTTTCCGTCAGGATCCCCAAGAACAGGGACCTTCCCCCACAAGCTCCCTGACCGAAGTCTGAGGGAGGAGGATTAGAAACGAAGGAATGAAAAACTGCCGTAGCCTGGAGCTCGTGTGCGTGTATTCATGTAGAGTCAGAGACGTAGCGTCGATAGCTCTTATGCGCCAATCGATTTTGACCTGATAATTTGGACTTGCCTCCTGCAAGTACACGTGGATGTAATAAACATATGTCTCATGGAAGACCTCGGTGACCTCTTGTTATCCGTTTCGGAGACTCAATCATCCGATGAGATTCTTCATTCATGGTGTGCCCCTGTTAATCCTAGACAGCATCCGCCGGGACGCCGGGAGAAATGCTGCCAATACCCTGGAATGAATATTGGTTGTCTTTCCCTAAAACGGAAAATACTGGACTTGTGGACCCGATTAGTCTCCTGACTTGACCTTTGAATCCTCAACACTGCAGAGTAGGTACCCGTAGCGTTTCGGACAGATGTGAGCGAGTAGGCGGAGAAGCAAGGCTCCACTCCAAAGCAAGCAGAGCTCGAGAGAGATTCCGCAGGTCTGGAAAATTTGGGCGCTTGAACGTGGATGAAGATAGTCACGGTCTGACTTATCCATGCTTCAGGGGTGAGGCTGTGGGACAAAGAATCCGAGACTTTTCCCAACATCGACAACGCTCCCATTGAATGCGTGATCCGTATCCGAGGAGGCAATTGACGTCGGCATTCACGCCACAAAACACGTCGTAGCCCGGGTCACTTTTGCTACACTTCCCGGACAGAACATTCTGACCGTCTTCTTCTTCGGAGAGGTCGAAGCTTTCGACCGCGGTCCGGAGTCTTATCCCAATCCGTGTACACCGAAGATTCGATTCAACAAGGAGATTCATTGTTCGTTTGTTCTAGGAAAGGGAACGAGTCGTTTTGTAACGGTATTAGTGCGAGTCCATGTCTATACTCATGACGCCCCCGCGATCAGCCACTGAAACTTGGGTTAAAGAGAGAGAGTGAAAAAAATTGAAGAGTCTAGAGCTTCGAAGGTTCTGACTCGGTCAGTATCGGATCAAGACCCCGATCTGTTTCCGTCCCGGCTCCCATTATTTTCTCTTCCGCATCGAATAACAGTATCGTCGGGACTACGTCTCTCCTTGTCGGAGCCCTCTCGCGATGAGCATCGCAATCCGGGATTCTCAGGTCCTTCCCGCCGCCACACGACGGTGTCTATCTGGATGGAGCCATCGACCATCAAGAACCCTCTCCCACTCTCGCCTAGCCGAGCTCGAATTGCGTTGAACACAACACAGCACGCGGCATCGGCGAAATAGTTGCGAGCACGCGAGAGTCGTAGTTTATAACCCATGGGAACCTGCGTATCCGGCGAATAGTTTCTATCTCAAGGTTTTTCGCGGATTCATCTACTGAAAAGTAAGTTTCGGACTCGATAGGAGAAATAAGATGCCGATTCGCGTCGGAACTTCTAATAGTTGTTGTTTATCGTTTATTCAAATCACTGAATTCTCCGGAGCCTAAGTTCGCCTGTCTCCGCGTAGACCGTATCATTCGTGGACCATCATTATCATCTCGATCTATGAATCATCGCGAGTTATTCCTCAGATGCCGTTGAGCCAAGAGATCGAGACCTATCGGCAACCCTGGGAGAGCGCCGAGAATTGGGAACTTCGGGAGGAGTTCCTCCTGCAGTACCAGGACAACTATGAGGAGAATCGTCTCCTGTGCTTGGCGCAGGCCTACGTCAACGTTCTGCTCCTTGGATGCAATTATCCTGACGACGTCATGCGACAGGTAAGTCGAGGCTTGATGAGCTGCCCCAAGTCGTTTCGGTGTATCATAGGCGAACCTCCTATGCGGTGCGCCGAAGAGGAGCAATGAAGGCCGAGCATTCCGGCGCTTTAGGACAATCATTCTCGAGACCTGCCCCTGTTCTATGAGATTCCATCCATTTTGAGCTCGCATCGTTCACCGCATATCATGACTTGTTTTCCATCTCCCAGGTTTCGGAAATGGCGAAAGGTTTGGAGAAGGGCCAAGCTCTGCGCGAAACAAAAGAAGAAGAAAAGAAGAAACGAAAAACTGAGAACGCGGCGAAGAAGGCTCGAACCGAGGAACTGGGAAGCAGGATCGGTCGTCCGCAATATAATCGAGGATACCATGGCAACTATCATTAAGTCGAATGCTGCCTTGTAAATATACATATATACTTTATATACTATATCTTGTCTCAACCTAGGTACCAATACGTGATCCGCTACGTTGCACTATATCAAGCATCAAGCACTTCTGCCGAACATGATGAGCTCGGACGGCATTGTACAGCGTGCGCCTAAGCAACATGAAGGATTAAAATTGTATTCTGTAAAATTGATAAAAGGAGAGGCTTTATTAATAATCTGCTGCTCGGTTCTCGTGGTCGGCCAAGCTGCGCTGTTAGGTACCCTCGCGTTGCGAAACATATCCCATGGTCTTGATCAAGCGATGAAGCGGAACATCTCCGTCGGTCGACAATGGACGTTCCGAAATCGGTCCCCTCGATGCGGTCCGCATCTAGGATAGGAACTTCTTGATTTCGTCGACGTTCTCCGTCACAGACAAGGTTCGCGCGAGCGAGGGTGTCAACGGTGGCAGACACGAACGCGGAATGATGAACGTCGCGAGGTTGAACAGATCAAGGAACACCTTGTAACGATCACTGCAAAAAACGTCACCTTAATTCTTATGCCGTGAATTCCCCCTTAGAGGATGCTCGATGACGGAGATTTGGACGCTTCTTCCGAGGGAAACGAGCAACTTTCTTACAGCCGTTCCTACCTCAGAGTTGATCTAAGATATTGGTAACCGGATGAGCCTCCTGTTCCGGCGAGTGAGGAGCCGATCATTCTCTGAACCATGAGCACGTGATTGTCTGCAACATGTCGAAATTTCGGCAATCTTTGTAAGCCGCCTCAGGCGATACGATGGACACGGATAATTGCCAGCAATCGCTCCGTCTTACATACATCTCCATTTCGTAATCAGCGAGTCTATATCCTGTAGCAAATGGAGCATATGGAATGCTTGATGGAACCTGGGATTGTCGCGGTACAGATAGATCATCAGAGCTCCCTGTAGAGCTTTGTGGGACAAGCGGCGCTCTCCTCGACGGACGAGTTCCGCGTGGATTGTCGCGTCGAAAATTGTTTCGAAGACATCCTGAGATTCGATAGAGCATTATTATTGAACACGGCAATCAAGACCGGCATCCCGCTCAATTCCGGAAAAATCCTTTTCTCCGGGAGTTTCACCGTGTCTTTTACCCTTTTCCTTGCCACCGTTTCCAGGAGTGATGGATCATTATCCTGAACAGCCCTCTCTTGCATTCGGTTCAACATAGACGTCACTACTTCTTTGTACTTCTCCCAGAAATTGAAGCCATCCTTTTCCAGTCCCGGTGTCCTCTCGAGCCAACCCTGTCGGACCAACGGGCTTCACTTCATGCAGTCGGAGTTTCGGGTTCGACTCCTGTGGTCTCTATATAATCTGACCTGCTATCGTGAACTCAGTGAAAGCTTCTCCTTCGAACCAACCTGGATTAGGAGAAGCAGTGACGATTTCTCGTGTGATTCTTTGACTCTCTGGATAGCCACCGGATCTTTGAAAACAGTGACGTAGTGATCGCGCCCATAGTTCACGCGATGCTCCTGTAATCGAATCGGGGACGACCGATGACGACAACTGAAGCTAAGCTCTGCCACGACCAATTTCCGATCCTCTGAGCCATGAATCGCATCTCTGCATGGGATACCTGTTCAACATCGAGGATTGTTCCAACCGGAGGCACTCACATTTTTTACTCCGAGTGTGTTTTCGAGCAGTCGGAATTGGAGACTCTGGAAGCCAGACGCAGGCGCCAAATAATTTCGAAACTCCAGGAAATCGAGCGGAGTCATGGTTTCAAGTATCGCCACTTGATCGTCGAGCAACTGCGGAGAAAAAATATTTCAGCTCTCGGGATTGCTATCGGAGTCCCGAGGGAGCCCGCCAGAGCCCGTCGATGAGCATGATCACTGTGTCTCATGTGTTTGCTTCAATTCTGAGCTATCCCCACCTTCAATATCAAGACGATTCGATTAAGACGTTGCGTAATGAGCAACATATTTGCCTCTTCGACCACTTCTCCATCGAATAGCGGACGGATCGAATCGAGTTCGACGAGGATTTGCTTGAACCAAAGTTCGTAGGCTGGAAACGATGATAGCGGTCAGAAGGGATTGCTTCGCGCCACCTGTTATTATGCGAGTCCTGGATCCTTCGGATCAGGGCAGCTCGGCAACGTCAATATTCTCGCTCGCTCGTGATTCTGGGCGCAGCGGGAGAAGAATTCCTCCCGTGCTCGAACTGACCTTGGTGAGTGATGATAAATAAGTGTTCATCATGAACATTTTCGTTGTCCCTGGAAACAGGATCCTGACAGCTCAGGAGCTGATCTAGCTGCGGACAATTCAATATTACTCGACGCCCCTGACGCCTGAATATATTTCAAAATTTTCACAAAATAACGACAGCGGCCGCTCCCGACCCCGAGCACTGAAATCTGGAATGGCACCTACCCGTCGTCCTGGCGTCCATAATAATGTAATAATTGTGATAATATTGACGCCGGGGTAACTCTCAGCAAAGTCTCTCCGAATCCTGAGCTCCCTAGTGGGTCTCAGATACAACCTACCTTGAGGTATTCTCCGTAGAGGAGGCCCTTCGAGTCAGAGTTTGATGGTCCGGCCATCTCAACCGAATGTGATTCAGGCACAAGACTGGAGCCGCCGCTTTTCTGGTTCTTCCTATCGCTCCGCAGCTATCGTAAAGTGAAAATGTGCCGTCTGACCGGGCTATCTCGTCCTGTCTTTGTCTCGATCACGATAGGAGTAGATGTGAGCGAGAGTGAGGTTCTCTCTCGGACTTGTCTCGAGAGAAACCTTCGGCGCTCTCACTTCGCGGTAAAAGTTAGCTGACGATCTGCCGACTTCATTTCTCACTCAACTCACCAGAAAGACTGATCAAGAGCCCGGAGCAGCGGACTCGGCTTCGATATTTCGAGCCGATCGTCTCCATCTATTAGAAAGATAGCTGGAAAACTCGTCTAATGATTCCTAGAAATCGAGTTATCGCCTGACTCCGAAATTTAAGACGGACCCCCCCGGATCTCGGCGGCAGAGATCGGGAACGAGCTGGCGAAAGTACGAGCGGGAGCTCGGGATATCAGGTCGTCGTGCAGCAATGTTCCCGCGACCTTGTCTCGCCAGCCTACGAGCTCTTGATAGATGTGCCGCAGTTAGGCTGGTGATGAGGCTGGCGCCGGCGAATGCGTGTTCGAACACGGTTCTCTCTGTCCGCAGCGGGATGTGCACTCTGGATGTCGTGTTGCCATCGTTTTCCCGAAAGTACCCATTAGGCGTGGAACAGGTGACCGAGGCAAGACGAGGGGAGAGCGCTGCCTGCGCATTCCACATTCTTGTCTTAGGGGAGCATTTCCGGCTTGTGCTTCTCATCGAGCTGGATCCCCGGGCGATGAGCACTGATTGACATCCCCGATCCCGCTCATCCGAAGCATTCGCGGACGCGGTCATCAACTCGATTTCGTGAAATGGGAGCCTTCCGTCGAAGCCGTGCTTACCACTCGGGATCTCGATTGATTTTTGTCACGGCGCGGCGGGCGGAGTTCGCGATCTCAGCTCCGGCCTGGGTCGAACTCCCGAGTGACTCGATACCATGACCGCGTCGTCGACCCTCATTCCCCGTCGGAGATACGTGAATCATTGATTGCCGAAACAATACATCAAGAAAATACAAGAGTAAGCCGCAGTCTGCTTATTTCATGCATATTTCGGGATGCAGCTTCTCCCCCGCAGTGGGAATTTGCATGAGGGTCCGGGCTCCGTTTCCGAGTTGGTCAATGAACCCGGAACGGCCCCATCCTGCTGTTGAGGATTCCGCCGTGAGCGCCGAAATCGAACGCTCATACGGCCTGCAAGCTCCCTGTTAACAAGACCCGGCTCTGAAAGAGGCGCTCTGTTCCACTGTGAGCAGGGTCACCGACGCGACGTGAGCTCATTCCCCATTTGAATATTCCTTCGGATCCCAAGGACAGGTCCGGTGAGTTTGAATGATGTGCTCAGCTGGAGCTGCGGAGATACTTCTTCTTTTGATCGAACATCCGGATTGAAGCATCGCGAGACCGAGCTGCGATCTTGTTCGCTCGGAGTCGAGCGACGGCGAGAAGCTTTGTGTGATCGAACGACCGGAGTGATCGAGTGCGAGCGAGTTTGTCGAGATATGGCGGAACTCCTATCCTGGTGCTCCTTCGCTGGATTCCGCATCCCTTTACGTGAGAGCGTCGCCGAGCTCTCCGGACATCAGGAATCGAACTGGCTCCGTCTCGGAGCCACGTACCCTTCATTTCTCGGGCGCCTGGAGACCTAGTCGACTTAAGATCGGAGGAATAAATCTTCCCCACGCCTTTTCCGTTCGACCGAGGTGCCGCTGACCACCGCTCCCCCGGCTGCCGGTCAAGCGATAGCTCTCCTTGACGGAAGAGGGGTACGATCGCCTCGGGACACGACCAACGCCCCCCGATGACTCTGGGCGGAATAAACGAACTTATTGGAGAGATGCTGAATATTGAAGGCGCGATCCTGAAGAGCCGCTCCCCATGGAAGTTCGAAGCTCGGAGATCGGCGGTGTATTTCTAATTTTGAAGTCGGGCGTTTCGACGGCAACGCCTGGGTCCACGAGGACAATCAGGATGTAGCTTATCTTCTTGGACCTCGAAACGTCAACCCATCTGATTGTTCTTTGATACTCAGAGACCCTGCCGAAAACACGTGTTCCGAGCAGCTCCGCCTCGCCGTTGGGGCTTCGTCGGTGCACGAAACGAACTGACCCTGACCTTCAAGGTTCACGAACACGAATTCTCGAATACGGCGGTGCGCGATAAACCAATCCGATGAATTCTCTGTAGTCACACGGAACGCGAAAGCCTCGGAACGGGGATCGATCGTAAGCTCTCGGAGCTAGCTCACGGAAACGGCGGCGCAGCGGCCCTAACGACGTGGCGACTACACACCGAGCCGACTCCGTAGGCGAATTCATTCCCCCTCGTGCCTGCTTCTGCGAGAGCTCGTTGTTCCATCGACCGTAAACAGCAGTATTTTCGGAGGGAGTTGGATGCGGCGCCGGCCGGCGCGTCCGAGTGTTCCAATCACGTACAATTCAGTTACCCTCCGTCAAACGAAGTTAAACGACCAGCTCCGAAGTTTTCGTGTGCCGACGACGAATGCAGCGAAGGATCGGAAACTGAAGAGTCGCGGTCTCGCTCGGTCCGAGAGCCTACTTCATTTTTCGGAGTTTCAAAGCTGAGCTCCATCGGCGGCGCGGTCGACGTTCTTGATTGATGTGAGAAGCAAACGACTAGAACGAGCTGATATCGGTAGTCCAGGGACGCCGCGTGAATGTGTTCAAGGATTCTCCCCCGCTACGAGCGAGCGGGAACATTGCGCACGTCACCCAGTGACCACGAGGGGCGACGACGAGAGGAACGCTTGCGAGTATGTATGAAGTTCCGAGCTTGAATATTTGCTCCTTTCGCAGGTGATGTCTCTGCTCTGCTCAAAGCTCTTTACGACTCTACGAACCGGAGGTGAGTCACTCGTGAGTTCGAGGAATCTCGAAGCCGAGTCCGAGTGGGCCCCTCGATGGACTTCCATACCTACGATGGGGTCCGCATATCGGTCCCTCCGATGGACTGTGACTCGAACGCAGTCCTCCGCGAATTCACGAATTCCCGACTGTGAGCGTGGGCTAGCAGCGGGCACAAGCGTGTCAGTTAGCTCAGTTCTGGGGTAGCCGACTGTTTCAATTCGAGCTGATCAGAGTATCATATCATCCATTAGGCGTAATGAAGGTGGCTGACTGAACTCTCTATCTCAGCCCAAGGTCATTGTGCTTGGTCCTTTGTCTAGCGATTCGGAGCTCCTCTCGTCTGGAAGTCTGCCCGTACGAATTCCTTGCCGCGGTTCCTAGGGCATGCTCACCGCATAGGAAGCGTCTCGCCTGTGGAGCTCTCGATAGATTTTCAGACACGGAGCCCGATTCCCAAAGTACCTAGCTCAGAAGGGGCTCGTTCACTCACTCTTCGACGAGGAACTTTCGGCTGCCCCACGAACACGGACACCGGATACCAATCGATAACTCCCTCTCTTTTGTCCAACGAGTTCTTGATCAGGGACCACAAATAAGTTCATTCGGCAGAAAGTCTGTTCTCTACGTCCAATCCAGACGGCGACGGCTTGCGCCGACGGGGTCGTGAGCGGCACGGCAGAAATCGAACTGCCGTCGGCAGAACTGGGGGCAATCGACAGTGCGTTGAACGTGAACATGTTTTCCCTGTTTGTAGGTTACTCCATCGGTCAGAAACAAACACGAGTCGAGGAAATCCAGGCACCAGTGTCAAGTCCGCATTGTGCGGTCGGAGACTTCTCGCAAGCACTGGATCCGGCGAGCAGCTCCAAAGAGGAGAATTCCACGAAGTTCTTCAAACGGAGGAGTTCGAGCCTCGCCTCGACGGCCACAATACCCGCCGCATGTGAGTTCATGTCGAGGAGAATACCTCGGGCCACCGGGAGTCGGTGTTCTCCGGTCCGAGGTATACCGAGTCTTCGCATTCCCGAGCCCGATACATGTTTGCAACAGGAGGCTCTCCGTGCGGCGGAAAAACTCCACGTCTGAGCGTGTTCCCCTTCCAGCGGAGAAGAGTTTGTTCGCACGAACGAGCTCGAACAAACGAAGCAGCCTCCCGAACATCGAAGTGAATAACAACAGAATTGCGACGTCTACCAAGGGTGACCTCGAAGTGCACAAACGGAAAATCGAAGAGCTCGTCATCATGGAATCGGTCGAGGACGATATCAGAGCAGGCAGTGGGAGCGGCGAGAAAGCTTCAACGACTCTCCGCAAGATAGAGAGCATCAATCGGAAACGGGAAGAACGCCGGAGGAGACTGCAAGAGGAGAAAGAAAATCGCGCCATCCAGGCTCGAGGCGAATATGGTGAAAATCAGATTCTCTATGATATGATTCAGTGAGTACTATTCACAGCGAATCGAGAGCCGCGTCGCATTGACGCCATAGCTGAGGCACGGATGGGGTTCGGACGGGGCGAAAGGGGGTCACGTCAACGCTTGCAGACTGAATTTTAGCTTTATGAAGCTTCATGATCGACACGAACCTATCATGTATCTGTGTAGGGAATTCTGCGAGTTCGAGAGCTCCGCTGCTCACAATTCACTCGATTTCCACTCAATGCCCCATGGGTTTCATTCCTAACTGACGCTTCACTCCGAGTAGATCCTTGAAAGCGACCCTGCGTGAGAATCAATCGCTGAGCTTCCGAGAATCAGAAGGCAGCATCTGCGTTGCGGTGAGGAAACGACCTCTGAGCATGCGTGAGCTTGCCAAACGTGTTGTTGACATTGTGACTGCAGATGTCGTTTCGGTGGTTGTTCACGAGCCGAAAGTTAAATTCGATCTGAGTAAAAGCATCGAAAACCATCGATTCCGATTCGATCTCGCTTTCGATGAGGACTGCGATAATCTGCTTGTATACAGGTCAGCTGCCGATAAGAGGAAGAATATGGAACACGATACATGAGAGTGGAACCGGTGAGAGAGTTTAAAAACTTCAGGGTCGATCTTGCAGATACACAACCCTGCCTCTCATAAAAGCAATGTTCAACGGCTCGATGGCGACGTGCTTCGCGTACGGCCAAACAGGCTCAGGGAAAACATACACGATGGGAGGTCAGGCCGATATCAAGGGTCTGTATTCTTTGGCTGCTGGGGACATCTTCAAGATGGTGCGGAGAGCCGGCGAATTGATGGAAGTCCGTCTAAGTTTTTTCGAAATCTACGGGTCAAAGGTACGATTTCGAATTTGTGCAGACCACTCTACAAGTATATCTCCACCCAAACCCGTGGGGGAGGACGGATACCTGAATCGGATGAGATGGCAGATGAAAGAGCATTTCAGCCGGAACCCCGTAGAGGAGCGAACAGGAATCTGATCGGGATCTCAATCTCGTCGCAGGTACTTGATTTGTTGAATGAAAAAGCTCAACTGAAAATTCTCGAAGACAATCGACAGAAAGTGGTAGTTGTCGGATTGACGGAGATTGAAGTGGCCGACGAAGACGAAATGTTGGAACTCATCCAGAAGGGCAACGCTTCTCGAACTTCCTCTCAAACGAAGGGTAATGAAAGCTCTTCGAGGTCCCACGCAGTCCTGCAAGTGTCTCTGTTTGATGGGTGAGTCATTTCTCAAATCCGGTCTATTCCCTACCTGTTTCGGTCCCATATTCGAGGCATGGGGATTACGATTCGCTTCCTACGTTAAGCTGCGAACGATGAGATAAATCTGATCGCTAGCTATGCACCGATGCCTTCAGCGAAAAAATCGTGGCGACATGCGATCGATGAGGGAAATATGGGATGCAGCGAAGGCAATCGCGGTTCTCGTCCCAGTACTGGTTTGTATCTCGAGATGAGAATGATAGAGATGGAACAACCAATTGTGCCTGCTCTGCCATCATGAGAGCAGTCAAGTCGGCATTCAATCAAAAAGACAGACGTTCAGGCCGGCAGTTGGTCTGGGTCACGTTCAGGAATCAATCTACGGAGCAGACCATGATTGGAGGAGCCTCTAGCTGGACAATCGTGAGATATTTCATCTGAGCCTTCGGTTTCGGAATCGCCGAGACGGGCACGGATTTCACCGACCCAGGAGCGTTATGCGCACGTATCCCTGGGCTACATAACCGGCGTACTCAATGATAATTTTTCCCTGGAAAGAATCGTTCACGGCTGCTATCCGCTCTGACAGGGGCGCGAATTTCCCGAGTTGATCTCCGGGCGGAAAGTTACGCCTCTTTTCGAATCCATACCGAGAAAGCGCTCTCGAAAAGACTCACAGTTGACACAAGAACTTCGTCGACAGGACCTCTCTCTTTGGCCGACTATCCCTGGTGGATCTCGCTGGAAACGAGAAGGGATCCGATACCATAAGCGCCGATAGACAGACCCAGATCGAAGGTGCTGAGATCAACAAATCGCTCTTGGCTTTGAAGGAGTGCATCCGCGCGTTAGGCAAACAGGGAGCCCATCTACCGTTCAGAGCATCGAAACTGACGCAAGTCCTCAAAGATTCCTTCGTCGGCGACCGCAGTAAAACCTGCATGGTAGGTAATTTGGTAAGCGATATCACGAGGTGCTGCCAAAGTACGGTAGACGAAGCAATGCAAGATCTCGGATCTGAGTAGTTTCCCAGATGCGCACCTTCATGAGAGCTCTCGATCTAAGAGGACATTATTTGCTCTCTTATCGATCGGGGGCTCCCATCGAATCTGGAGTCTCGCGGAGCCGCATGGGACCTTGACGAAGATCCCGGGAGATTCGCCTGCTCATTCCCCGGGAGCACTTCCGACAGATATAATAGGATCCGATCATCAAGTCATCCCTATACATATGATTCGATAACATGTTTCCTCCGCGTGAGAGCCAACCTGAATTCAGTTAAGGCTATTCGTCCTTTCCCGACAGATCGCCATGATATCTCCCGGACAGAACTTTTGCGAGAATACGCTCAACACGCTCCGGTATGCGGATCGCGTCAAGGAGCTGAAAATTCACGATCCAGCAGATCGACCTCGGAGCAATAGCAACTCTATCAGTGACACAAACACCGGCGGCAGCAGCAGTCGTTCAAGCTACATCAAACCAAACGCTCCGAGTCCTCTAGCGACTCCAAAGGTTAGTGAACCCATACGACCGGGAATGGCGGGCTTGAGAGCTCATAGATTGTGGCTCACATAGCGGCAGGATTTATGAAACTACTTACGCGAGAGCCCTCACGCTCTACCAGACTTCTCCAACCCTATTAAATTTAAAATGGTTGCCATGTCATGAATCGATTTCCATTATACGGATTTTCCTCTTGAGTAATAGCGTCGACTCTAAACCGGACGGCAGTCGCGCTTGGCGACTCTTCTATATGTAGTCCCATGGGCTCTTGGCAGCGCGGATGGCGTTGAACTCGATAGAGGGCTTCTGGGATTTTCCGAGCTCGCCCCCTAAACCATCCATTAGGGCAATTCCTAGCGTTTCGAATTTGGGGACAGCTGAAAGATGAGTTCCGGAAGCGAGCCGAGTCCTCATTATCTTACTAAACTGCATTCAGACGAGCCTCCGATCACCGGCGAAGCAGAGCCCCGAACCTCTGCTAGATCTGCTGCGACGTGAGTTTTCGCCCGTGCTAGAAGCTTTCCAACAACTGACTGGTTCGACAGACAGCGTCGCCTCGGCGGATGAGACTCGGAAGGCGATTTCCCGTCTGGTTCGGCTCAATCAACAATGCATATCGAGCCTAACATGTAGGTTCCGAAACGCTCGATTATCATATGTATAAGTCATCAGAATAATGCTGTCGATTGGCGGTGGGATGACTTCGGTGTCTGAATAGCTGCAATCGAAGGTTGGAAAACTCATGGTCGTTGGGTGCCACACTCCCACATGGTCGTTCCAGAGGAAACTCGAAAATCAACAACCATTTTCGCCTCTCTATGATATGTGATAATCTGCATAGCTTGCAGATCTCCATTCTCTAATGTGAAACATCCTCTCGATTTCTAGCCGAGCTACAGAATGGCGGATAGTCCTAGACATCGTGCAGCTTTCCGAGGACTGATCTTTACTCCGGAATTCCGAAGGTCACGTGCATCGCATCATCTCAGTACATGTTCCTATAAGGGCTCGAAGTGTTTCATAAAGTCTCAAACTCGGACGGCGACTTTCCCTCGACAGTCTCTGATGGGTCTGATCGACGGAGGCATCCATCACGGTTGCTCACATAATATAGGGAGCATAATTTTTTCTGCAGAACATCTAAACGAAATGATGACAAGCCTCCTCCAGATTCATGAGTTGGAATGATAACCGGAAGTCTCAGGGGGATGATTGCAGAATTTCTGCGTTATACAGATGCCGCGAAGGTGGCGGAACCCGAGCAGGTCTTCAAGGGAAAGATTCTCCTGGGAGCCTCAGCGATTCAAGGGGCGGCAGAAAAAACAGCAGCAGTAGTCGTTCGAGCAATATCAAGTCAAACGCCCCGGGTCAGCAAACGCGGCCACGAATATGTGACCCCATATGGACGAGACAGACGGAGCCCACGAGCGAATCGCTCTCTACGCACATACCATGGAAATTGATGGAATCACTGTCGCTGAGCCCTTCACCTATCGGCAGAATTCCCGAGTTCGATCTCATTTCAGATGGCTGTCATGTCTCGAATCAATTCTCGTAAGGCGTATTCTCCTTCCGTTCAAGGGAAAGCGACGAATAGCTCCTCGTCGGCAGTCGATTCCGGCAGTATCATCGTCTGACAGGCTCACTGAAGTGCACTGTGGGGGAGGGGGGGAAGCGGACTTCTCCAGAACTAAAATTGTCTAATAGAAAGCGTAGGGTGCTTATAGAGCTGTTGAGGCCGATCATTGATTCCTGGCAATTCGAATCTCTAGTGAGCCCTCACGACAAGCAAGTCAACCACATCCGAAGCGGCAGAAATCCGAGTCTCCGCGAGATGCGCTCAAAAATTCTAAAGTAAGTCCTTCCCCGATGAATAAAACAGAGTAGGCGCCTTTTGCGATCAGCGACATTGACATGGTCGTTTGGACTCCGATGTTTGAGAAAAACGGGACTATTGTTGGACTCTTTTATGATTCGTCGAATCGGCTCAGCTTAGAGGGCTCGCAGTATCCCATTCTCTGACGTCAACATTCATTCTAGTTCCTAGACGGGCTATGGGAAAAGGATGGTACCATGTCATGCGAGCCTCTGCGGTCAGATTTTGGAAAATTTCGATTGTTGTAGATTCTACTCTGTTCCATGGTCGAGCCCTGTCGGCTGTTCTCATCGAGTGCAGAATATCGAAGCTGGCTTAGTGGAGACATCTCGTGATTTCGAGGCGCCTGCGTCAAAACTGAGGAAATGGATCTATAGCCGTGATGCTTCTATGCGGTCCATCGACGATCTCACAGTTTTCAGTGTGGGAGTGTATCCAGAGGACACTACCTCAATATCCTCTCCTCCGTCCGACAATGACTAGCAACGAGAGGAGAATTGAGGAAATTCGTACGGCGCCCGATAAAATAAAACATACCCGATTGATAAGGATAATGCCGTGCGCTCCCCATTACCGATGCATCCTGAGGATTTCCAGATGGATGGGAGTGGTGGTAGGAAGGATCTACTGTATGGTTCGAGAGGTGCGGACCTTCCGTCCAAGATGGGGTGAGATTCGATGGCTCGACGTAGCTTCTCAGAGTCCGGATCCAATTCACCTTCGAGCGAGGGAGTTGACAGCATGGAGAGAGATTTGCCAAAACTGCGCTTCAGACTTTCTGCTGCGACGCGGAAGCAGGAACGCAGAGGTTGAAGAGCTTTCAACGTTTTCCCATGCATCCTCCGACCGAATTCATTGCCTTCAGGTGGCTTTGGATATAGTTGTGCGGATTTGTCCCATTTGGTTTGACAAATGGATTCGAGGAATTCATTTGCATGCCGTTCGATTTCAAAGTGAATTCTGTTACATACAGGGGAGCACAACGTCATTTGTCAGAGGCAGCCTGCGGCTCGCGGCTGTTCTTCGGGAAGATTCGCGAAAATATTCGACGCAGTTCCGTCTCCGGGGAATGCGCCAGGTCGAAAACTACCGGGGATCACACGAGCTTCTTCGATTCTGCGATATACATGTAGTTATTCTGATCAGTGAATGTTCAGAGGGTTTCCGAGGTTTCATTCGTACGCGTTCCATGCTCCGTGCGTTATACTCAACGCCGGTTCTTATGATTAGACGCTCGAAGTTCCCAGTCCCTTTCGACGTCATTTCATTCTCCCCGAACAGAATGCGACTTCTGACATATGACCTCTCCAGATTTTTTTAGCCGCTCGTCACACTCAGTCCAAGAACATTTTGTTCTCCCCGCCGACACAGTCCCGTTGCTCATCATTCCTTCTTGCAGATGATGTCATGAGGAAGCTCCAGATTACGCCGACCTATGCTTCGCATGTACATTGTAGTTTGCCATGTCACGGACATCGCCCCCGAGATAATCCCGACATCAGACGGCCATGAGAGGCGAAGATCAATTCGTGCGACGATACTTTCTCATTCAGGTGCCGATTTGAGCCTGAAAACTGCTTCTGATCGCAGGGCACTTGCAGAGGCTACGGAATGATGTATCTCTTTAGGCCTCGGTGAGATCGTTCTCAGTCTGAGGTCTCTCCATCTGGCTTGTCCTCAGAGGCTTGGGAGAGGGGGATCTCTAGCTCGCTGCGAGAAGTCAAGAACTCTCCGGCGATAGCACGAGAAATCACCGATCAGATGGACACTGCAATCGACTTCCGAAAACTCGCAAATAGAGTAGAATATCTATAATTATCTGAATCAACGGAACCTTCCGGATACTGAGTTGGGAGAGTCGAACAATTTGCGAAAAGTTCCCGAAGCTTCGACTTCGGAACATGCATCGGTCCGGACGCTAGCTGCGCCGAGTCATTGGAGCTTCGCTTATTCGAGTGTTCGATGTTCTCTGCGAGAAAGAGAATTCTCGACAGTAGAGTTTTCTCATTTTGTTTCCAAAGCGCAGCGGAGGAAACCCCGACGAGAACGAATGACCGAAATCGGGCAAGCGACGCAGATGAAGCTTAGAATTCCGGGTCCATTAAGTTCACTATTAGCGACTTTCGGTCCGGGCGAGCAATGGGAGAAAGCTCCTTCTCGTTCCGTTCTTGGAGTTTGAATGCCTAGCCTGCGCTCTTCTCAACGAAACGAGTAAGGCGAGGCGGATATCGCTTGACTCATCAAAAAGCAAGAAGCAAAAAACGAACCCTGCCTCACCGTCGCGTCGGCCGGCAGCTCACCGAGATACAGAAAGTCAGCCAGGCATCCAGTTTTCACCCAGTGGCAATGTGGGCGTCTGTCCGCATCAGTTTCTTTTCCTTGGGAGGGTCAAATGAACTATTTTCTGCTCAGCTGATTTTCTGTTGTCTTTTTTGTGTTCCTCCAGTGCTTCTGCCTCAAGCATGCTGGCAGACAGGCGAAAAGCTCCACTGACCGGCTGGCCGTTTACAGTTAGACAGGCTGACGAGAAGGCTGGCGGGCATACAGAAAGACAGATAGATTACCACACCCTCATTCATTTTTTTGCGCTGCGGTGCACTCCTGTGAGTTCTTATCTTAATCGAGCTCTTAGTTTTCACCTGAGGAGGCAGCTTTCTGCTTCATCTTCATGACTCGCTGTCTCGAGCTCTCACGACGAGAGCCGCTGGATGAATGAGTGGACACTCGACTGAGCGAACAATTGAGCGTCATGAGTATGCGAGACCGCGGAGGGGTGAGAATGAGCTGCGCATCACCCTTTCTCGTTTTTTCAATTAGCTTTTCCTGAGCAGCCGATCAGACGGGAATTTCGCTGCTTCGATTTCAGGTCCTGAATCCCGAAATTCTCGCACGACGATTTTTACGGTTTCCGATCCGCCAAAAAGTAGCTGGACACGATACGCGATACGTCGAATCGATACCGGGAAAATCAAGCCGAGGAATCGGAGCGTTTGACAGCTCGTTCCCCGTGGAATGCCGGAGATTCTTTGAGTCACGAGTGAAATCTTCAGAAAAAAAACGCCATCGTGGACCTCATCGGGGACCCCCATTCCAATGCTAAGTCTTCCATTTCAGAGGACAAGAAAAGATCCGC